TTAAAAGCATGAGTGTGTGGCTCGCCCCAGACAGATGGAAACGTTATTTCAGGAGGAGGAGGAGGCACCATGTCTCACTGCACTCACTGCCTGCTTTGTAGGTGCTCCCGTGCCAGGCACTGCAGGCTACTCCTTACACCTACAGTTCCACCTTTCCTTACAACATGCAGTGACACTGTCACCAACACCACGATTGATTTCACAGGGAGAGAAAATGAGACTTAAGAGAATCAGGATCTAATTGCTTTGCCCTGACTCACCATATGACCCAGGCAACGTGAGAGACTACCACAGAGCCAGAGCCCCGTGTCTGCTCCAAACCCCAAGCTCCTGCCGACTGTCATGCTCTATAAACAATGACTCCAAGGAACGCCTGTCCTTCCCTCCTATCCATCACTTACATGTCTGTCTTATTTACTTGTTCACTTATTACTATCATTTAAGTATTCTCCCTTCTTTCCAGATGCTGAAGCAGGATGACAACAGTTAAGTGGCCAAGGTCAAACAGTCCCTAAGTGACAGAATTTAGGCCTGAACCTGAGATGAAAGCTAATGTCTGTGTCATTATGCTATGTGCATCAGCCCAAACATCAAATAGATTTATCAAATTGTTACAAAAAACTAAAAACAGCCTAGTGCTCTAAGAAGTATTTCACCTCTTCATAAGAGTATTAAAAGTACAAATAAAATTATGCTTCTGTAATGAAAACTACTTAATACAAAACAGATTTTTATGCAAATTATAGCAAGTAATTTTCTTCGCAGAGTTTTCATTTATACCTAATTTCCAAGTTAAATGAGCAGAATCAAATGGTCATATTCTAAACTAATCATCTCTGTTAAGTTTAAGGACTTACAGTTTTAAAATTCCAATAACATAAATCTTAACTTTGTTGTAGTTTTCTTTGGGGTGATATCTTTAGAGAAGTACTTTATATAAAAGTCAAAATTGGTATATATCACCAATAATTCTTTCTCATATAGCAACAAAATGTTTGTAGCTCAGATGTGGCTATCACTGCTCACAGAAGGTCATCTTGTCAAGAATGGAATAAGCTCACAAGGGGACATCAAATACACAAAGATCCTTCCCAAGGACAGCCATGAAGGAGAACTTTATCAGACATTAATTTCCACTAATCACCAGCATACATACACAGACCTCCTATGACTGCTGGAGCAAAGGAGCAGGGCAGTATTTGGAGTGTCTATGGACAGCACCGGCTTCTTGCCTGTGACCTCCCCCCAGATGGCAGCAAACTAAGCTGAGGGGACCAGAGAGGATGATGGCTTGTAAGGTCACGCTCACTCTGCCTCAAGCCTGTAGACCGTTAAATTCAGGAGCTAATAACAAAATTAAGCATGCTACCCTTATTCCAACCTAGTGAGAACTAGTCATGCAGGGAGAGAGAGATTTGGATTAAGTAAAAAATACCATGCTTTGAGACACAGTCCAGAAGTGGTGGTCAGTATGCATACTAACCCATCTACACAATCAGTAGCAGAAATGTGGAAGACATCTGGTTGGGTAGGGTCTAGAGCACAGAGAGATTAACTGGCCTGTGGGAACTAAATTCCCGATACGGATTTAAACTAACCTCCATCGAACACAAAACGACTCACCCATTCTTTACAAAATACTGTTCCCAACCTTGGCGCTACTGAAATCTTGAGCTAGGTAATTCTTTTTTATGGGGGTCTATTCTGTGAATTAGGTGAGCAGCACCCCGGGGCCTCCGGCCACTGGGTGTTAGTAGCACTCTCCAGTGATGACAACCAAAAATGTCTCCAGATGCTGCCAAACTCAGCTCCCTTCCTGTGGAGAACTACTGCTCTAATGTCAAAGTCAAACAAAAATTAGGTGTAGCAAATAGACTAGTAGACATAAGAGCTTAAAAAGAAATCATTCCAGTTAGAATGACTAAGATCAACAGGACAAAAAAATAACAAATGCTGGTGAGGATGGGAGATTCTTTACACTGTTGGTGGGAATATAAATTGCACTACGTATGGAGGTTCCTCAAAACCAAGCACAGAACTGCCATGAGGGAGCAGTCCCATTCCTGGACATTCATCCGAAGGAAAGGAATGAACTAACACGTCCTCCTGGGTCTGCGGCAGCACGAGTTGCAAAGCCATGAGATGGTATCGGCGCAAGCGCCCACCAAGGAGTAAACAGATGAAGTGTGGTACGTATGCATAACAGAATATCACATGGTCACAAAAAAATGAAAGCCTGCTGTTTGCAACAGGACTCTGACAGCAAATGAACTAGACCCTGGCTGCTGTGTGGTCCCAGAACTTCAGCTCTGCATCATGTGGAAAGATTCCAGAAGCAGAAAGCCTCAGGCCCCACGGGTACCATAGAATCAACTTCTGTACTTTAACTGGCCCCCCAGGCAATCTGTATGTATAGTATAGCTTGAAAAGCAGTCACCCGGATGACTCTCCTTGCTCTAGCATGTCATAATTCCATGATTTCACAGTTGGCCTGTTCAAGAGCAACCAATATAAAAGGTGTCCACAAAGTTCGTGTGCAATTTCTACTGATATACATATCAGTAGAAAGCCCCTGAAGGAGGAAAATAATAAAGATCAGAGCAGAAATAAATAGTAAAAATAACTACTGACACAATCAACAATATACAAAGATGGTCCTTTGATAAGAACAGCAACATTCACACTTAGCTAGACTGACCAAAAGAAACAGACAGAAGGGGCTCAGTGCCGTAACAGAGTGGTTACGGTGAGAGCCACATGGACCCGGCCTGGGCCCGCTAAACAACAACTGCAACAACAACAACAAAAAAAGTCGGGCGTTGTGGAGGTTGCCTTTAGTCCCAGCTGCTCGGGAGGCTGAGGTAAGAGAATCGCTTAAGCCCAAGAGTTGGAGGTTGTGGTGAGCTGTGACAGCACTCTACTGAGGACAACATAGTGAGACTCTGTCTCAAAAAAAAAGGAAAAATGACAAAAGGTCCAAAATACAAAAATCAGGAATAAAAGAAAGGACATTAGTAGTAACCTTATAGAAGTAAAGAGGATTATAAGGAAACACGGTAGGCAACTATACACCAACAAATAGATAACCTAGAGGAAATGGACAATTTCTTAAAAAGACACAAACTACTAAAACTGACACAAGAAGAAATAAAAAATACAGACTTATAACAAGTAAAGATACTGAATTAATAACAACAATAATAAAAAAACTCAGATGGGGACCAGGACTCTGAAGATAGCTTGTTAAATTCTACCAATCACTTAAAAGAATTACTACCAAGCTTTTACATACTATTCAAAAAAACAGAAGAAAGGGGAACGTCCTAACTCATCCTAAGAGACTAGTATTACCTTGAGACTGGTCATCAAACAAAGATACTGTAAGAAAACTACAGATTAGGGCTCGGCGCCTGTGGCTCAAG